TTTATTGCTAATAATGGACCTTTAAAAAATACTGAGTTGTTGTAAGGGTGTTGACCATACTTTTCTGACCATTGTGTAGTGAGAATAGAATCCAGGTTAGTATTATATAATGGTGCACTTTTGGGAATTGTTTTCTTGAGAGACAATGGTACTAGATTAGGAAAGTTTTTCAGTGCGTTCTTTACAATGATACTGTGTACTGTCAATATTTTATGTGAATAAAAGCCAGACTTGGTACTTGCTGGGGGGATACCGTCCTTGTACCAGTAATTGACGAAACCAGGTAATACTGCTCGAAGGCCCATTTTCTGTTTTACAAAAAGCGATTCAATATGAGACTTGGCAGCAAAACCCCATACAAGGCTGCAATAATTAAGGTGTGACTGCACAAAACTTTGATAAATTTGAAGACGTGCTTCGAGAGGCAGATATTTTTTAAGTTTGTACATGACTCCTATGTATCTGGACATTTTCATTTTCATGGCAGAAATATGATGGGACCAGTTTAGTCTATCATCTATTATAACTCCTAAAAAACGGGCTTCTGTTTTTCTCTCAATTGTGACACCAGAAATTGCCACATCACGATAATTAAGATTTCTTTGTCGAGAGAAGATCATATAATTTGTTTTCTTAAGGTTGAGAGCTAAACCATTATTATCTACCCATTTAACTAAAGCATCGCTAAGAGTTATTAGTTTATCGTAAACTTCATTAAGATTTTCTCCTATCAGGAAGATGTTGGCATCATCTGCGTACATAATGAAATTTGCTATATCTGATATTTGAGGTAGGTCGTTTATGTAGATTATAAAAAGTAAAGGTCCTAATATTGACCCTTGAGGCACGCCGTATAAAATTTGGTTGGTTGAAGATTTTGACGAGCCAATTGATACAAACTGTTTCCTGTTAGTGAGATATGACTTAAACCAGTTTAAGGCTTGACCCCTTATGCCGTAATGGTCCAGCTTGCGCAAGAGTATGGAATGATCCACAAGGTCGAAAGCTTTGCTGAAGTCGATTAAAAGAAGTAAAGTTACCTGCTTTTTAGACATTGAATTAAGAATGGTGTCTTTTGCGTTGAGAAGAGCATGTTCACAAGACCTACCCGGGCGAAAACCGTATTGGTTTTCACATAGTATGCTGTATTTATCTAAAAAACTTATAACTCGGTTATGCATTAGCTTTTCAAATACTTTAGAGAAAGAAGCAAGAAGAGATATTGGCCTGTAATTTTTTATGTCAGATTTAGATCCACCTTTGTGAATTGGGACCACCTTCGCTTCTTTCAAAGCCTGTGGAAAGATCCCCTGTTCAAAAGAACTGTTGACAACGTGGGCTAGTACACTAGTAAAACTGGGACAGCTGTTAGCGATTTTTAGAGGTTCAATTTTAGTGTCTAGTGTGGCTTTATTCTTAAGCAGGTTTATGACGTCCTGAATTTCTGTGGCAGTGACTGGCTTTAAGTAAATACTACTTGGAGTGGCGTTGCGAAGTGTGCTATGGGTTCCACCAGGATCAAAAGTGGTCCTACTACTAATTTCAGACTTAATTTTAGGAGCGATGTTTGAGAAGTAATCGTTAAATTTTTCTGCTACAGCTGCCGGAGTGCTGATTGAGCCGTCTTCGTCAGTCAGTTTAATTGAAGTAGGTTTAGATTTTTTCCTATTAAGAAGACTGTTTATCATTTGCCACTGCTTCTTAGAATTTTCTTTGTTTTGCTCAAAAAATTTTTTGAAGTGCTTGTTTTTAGCTTTATCGATGTGTTTATTACAAAACTTCTTCAGACGGTCATATTTACTGCGGTTACTATCAGATGGTTCCTTAACAAAATCATAATATGACTCATTTTTACGTTCTATAGCTTCTTCGAGCCAGGGCAGCATCCATGGTTTCGGATTAACACGTTCATTTTGTCTTCGTGATTGTCTTTTTGTGGGATAGGCAGACTCGTAAATCTTATTATAAGCCGTATTTAAATTATTGAACTGTTCGTTGGCATCATTGGTATTGTTAAAAATTTCTGACCAACTTTCATCTGTAATTAAGTCTCTGAATTTTTGATTGTTGGTGTCGTTAAATCTACGTGTTTCAGTTTGAGATACATTTTGTGAGTTAGACGCAGAGCGGTAGCTGCTGGTTGGCGTGTTATCAAGATTTATTGTAGTGACTATTGCTAAGTGATCAGACATATCTGTCGTTAAGACGTTACAGCTTATTGTATCCTCAAGATTGTTTGTGTAGATGTGGTCAATAAGCGTGGCACTATGGTCCGTTAGGCGAGTTGGGCGTGATACAATTTGAATAAAACCGTAAGAGGACGCAATATCTATAATGTTCTGACATGCTTGGTCGCTGCTGTGCTTCAGTAAATCAAGGTTGAAATCTCCATGAAGCGTCATATGTTTACGGGTGTGTCTCCCTAGGTTGTGCAGCGTATTTTTGAAAATTTCTAGAAACGCTTCAGGTCTCCTAGCGGGAGAACGGTAAACATTGCCAATTATTTTCGTTCTGTTGTTTCCTTTGCACTGATGGAGCTTGATAAATTGGAATTCGCCACTAGTATTAGTTGGTTCAGGGTTTGGAGTGAAAATATCAATTTTATCATAATCGACTACACGTTTGTGTACATAAGTGGCTAGCCCCCCACCTTTTCCAGATGGGCGAATTGGATCCTGGATAAATGGTTCATGAAATCCATCTAAGGTAACGTCGTTTATTCCGTTCGGTAATTTCCCTAAAGTGCAATTAGTTTCGTTAAAACACAATATATCATACTTATCATAAGTCTCAATATCATCACGTAGTTGATCTATATTCTTAATAAGGGATCTTATGTTCATAGAAAATGTTTTAAGTTGAGAGCAGGTAGATTTTTTCACGTTACGTTGTTGTTTATACTGACAACTAGTTAGGAAAGATGAAATATTGCTCCAAGTTGAATCTTGATGCTCTTCGTTGGTCATGGCGTCGCCAATAAGATTAAATCGACTATTCTGATCGTACGGATTAAATATGTCACTATTAAGTTTACTGTAGTCGTCATAGATTTCATAGTAGGTTGCGTGAAATCCAGGAATGATACTTTCACAGCAACTCGTGCAGCCTAAATTATCCTTAAAACATTTGACATGGACATTACTTTGACACCATGAGCATGTGCGAATATTTCTAATAGAGTAACACCAGCCGCTGCAGCTTGAACATTTGATCTTGACTTTGTTTTCAGATGTAACAGTGGGTTCCATTTATAACTAAATATTATGATTATGATACTGATAGTATATAAAACTATAGTTCAAATCAGATTCTTTCACGAGAACCGGAGGTCCTGTATGCTACAGAATCGTGATATGATTTAAAAGTAAATTATATTAAAATCGGATAATTAAGTGAAATAAAGTGTCTTTATCTAGGGCCTTATCAGTATGATTTAAATAACTGATTTGGCTAAAAAATAGAAATCGAATAAAGTGGTTGCTTTTGTGTTGTGTAGTTTTGTGAGGTGTTATTTGTATTTGATTTGTTTGTAGCGTTTACGTAATAAGGGACTATCGCACTGAACTTGAGTAATACTGAAGAGAACGCACTTGATTATTTATAGATTTGTATGTGAATTTTGAATGTTGTATAGAGTTATGAAATCTCATTGATTTAGGATGATACAGATTTGTAGAGTAAAATGTTTTGTGTGCGATCGGGTGATAAGAGATATTGATAATGGATGAGCTTATCAGATAATGAGAAAAATTCCACCAATCAGATCATTTCATTATATGATCTATCTTGGTAACGATCTGTTAAAGGTGGACTGGAAGTTGAGAAAAAATTGAATCGTATTTTTTAATCAGAATGGTATCAATCAATGATTTGTAAAGCGCTCAGCTTCGGTTATATCTGGAGAGACTGTTAGGCTTGTGGTGATAGAGCCACTCACAGTTCCTGTGACGTCTCTGTTCAGATCCACATAACTTGCCAACGCAGTTAACAAGTTCATGTGCCATTACCCTTTGCACCTCGTGATATAAGTGGATGCCATGTCTGTCGTTGCGGTCCCATACGTAGTATGAGTTAACACGCTTGATCACGGCATGGGCATCGAAAAAACTCAGATTTGGAATATCCTTAGCCAGGTTCAACATTATGATATTAAAAGCGTCAATCTCTGCATTCAACCAGTTAAATTTAGTCATAGATAAAGCACAAAACATAAACTCGGTATTCTTGTTATTGTTACAAGAGTCTATAAAACGGGGACAGAAATTGTCCGCAAGACTCCTGGCCGACTGCCCATACCTAGCTAGGTCATTAATGCCGCAGGAAAGTACGACTGCTTTAGAATGTTTGAACTCATGTTGATGTTCCAGTGAGTTCACTAGTTGATAGTTAAGGCGCTTTTGACATCGGTGGCCAGGTATCTGGTCGAACAGCCATTCTGGTGTTTCTCGGTGTATTGAGTCGTGAATGAAGATATATAGAGTGACAAATTTCTCTTTAGTAATTCGAATCTCACGTTGAGTCCCAAGTTTCACAAAGGGAAGTTTTCAGTAAAGTCTCCAGACGGCTATGATCACATTATAGTAAACGAATGAGGGATTCAAATCCAAAATGCTTTGACCATCAAGATAATTATAACATTGAAAAAGTGTCAAATCTTTGTTAAATTACACATCAATACATGATTTATGGATATGCAGGTAAGCTCCCAGTCCCATCGAAACACCATGCCATTTGATTGAAACCGATATATTTCTATTTTGTTCATCACTTTGATTACCTCACTTCTAAATTATGTAATTTCTTTAGCTTTGGATTTGTTTTAATCACTAGAAAGTGATGGACAAAGTGACAATTTTGACTGCCATGATCAGTTTTAACCAATAAAACAAGAAATTCAATGAAACAAATCACAACAACGAGAAGAAAGATAACAGATTTTTTAAAAACTTTGCTTAAACCAGACCAATAATCATATTTTATAACACTGTATTATATTATAGATTAGACCAAATGGTTTAAATGGACGATTATCGTGTTCAATGGATAAAGAACCAAGTGTTCTTATCCTTGAACGTTGAAGATGATAGTTTGTTTGAAGACCTGTTGGAGCGGGATGAGTACGCCTGCACAATATCACTGCAAAAGTACTTAGACTTCACAGATCCAGACGCAAGTCAGACTATTTTATTCCATATTGAGGTTAGTAAAGTTAATCTGCCACTTAGGAGGTTCAAACATTCTATAAAATTTCATATTTTTATGTACAACAGATTCTTAGCTTTAACACATATATTTCAAAAAAAATACGATCAAACAAAAGTCTGTACAGAAATATCACTTTGATGTTCTTAATGAGAATTAATTTTACAGTCATATGAGAAAGAAGAAAAGATTGAAGTCGAGGTTGAGCTAGCACCGAAAACCAGCAGTAACTTCGATGGTCAGTAGGGAACTATCGCATTGCTTTTATATTCTATAGTTGATTCCATTAATACATAATATGAAAAAACCAAGGTATGTTATTTTTTATGGTTTAATTTGAGGTTATTTGTTGAGGTTATTTGTTGTTTTTTCTTAGACACATGTACGCTGAAAATGTTTAGTATTTAAAGCTTTTCATTCTTCAGATGAAGAGGAGGGGAGCACGCAAGATAACCCAGAACAAAACGGGGAACTTGCAGAAGATGCAGCTCCAGCACCTCTAGGCAAGAAGATTGAGATTGTAAGGAAGACCATCATAACAATGCATATGATGCACGGCGATCTTTGTGAAGCCGTCAACCAGGATGCGACGGTTTACTTCTTGAGGATGAAAGATAAAGCAATACCAATTCCAACTTCACGTATCCATGCTGATGAGATAGTTCCTAGTTATCTCTCTTTTGGATTCCTGAACTCACGTCCTCTACCCATTTTAGAGCAGGTTATGCTTAACCTTTACAGTCCGTTGTTGGCTACGTATTCTCTACAAAAGCCTAAGGACTCCTCTAAAGATAAGAAGAAGGGGAAAAGTGAAAGTAAACCAGGTCCAGTTAGATCTGTGGTTAGGGATGAGTTTTTGATAAATATGTCAAAGTTCTGCACTCATATCAGCAGAACAATCCAACAAGTCGAAGGAGAAGTTCGACTTGATATCCCCGAAATTATCATCGAGGACATCCAAGCTGCTGCTGGAAACATGGAGATTGTCACAACCCTTGAAGGTGCTGTAGAGAGCTGGGAGAAAGCTATTGCTGTGTGTCTTGAACAGCAACTGAAGAAGACTCCTGTTGGCAATGGGCCATTGGCAGAGATCGACTTCTGGAGGGAGCGCAGTTCTGCTCTGAGTGCTGTTTGTGAACAGCTGGAATTACCATTGGTGAAGAACATGCTTGAAGTGCTAAAGGTCGCAGAGGTTTCTGTGTTAAGCAGCTTTGAGCACAACAGGGTTGAACTAAATAAGTTCTATACTGAAGCCAAAGATAATGTCCGCTTTTTGTCTACCTTGGAACGACATTTCAAGAATCTCGCCCACGGTTCAACATTCAGCGTGGTGATAGACACTATTCCATCCCTCATGAACGCTCTGCGAATGGTTTGGATCATTTCTCGGCATTACAATCGCGATGAGAGGATGGTTCCCCTGATGGAACGTATTGCCTGGGAGATATCTGAACATGTTGCCCGAGTTATTAACATTCGAGCGATCCTCAGAGAGCAGCCAGAATCAATCAAACAGAGAACAGGAGAAGCTATCACCACTCTGAAGACGTGGAAGAATTCCTACCTTGATGTAAGGGCTAAGATTGAAGCCTCAGGTCGAGATGCGAGATGGGAGTTTGACAGAAGGAGGTTGTTTGAGAAGACCGATTACATGTCTGCTATTTGCCAAGATTTGTTCAATATTGCTCAAGTGATGGAAGAATTTTACAACATCTTCGGACCAGAATTAAAGGCAGTTACTGGTGAACCAGAACGTATTGAAGAAGTCTTGCAACGAGTTGATGGATTGATTGAACCTTTTGAACAAGTTAAATTTGACATTTGGAACATCAAGAATCAGACTCAATGGCGACAAGTAATGAACTGGTTCAACCAAGAGGTCCTTCTCATCGAGTCTGAAGCTAAGCACTTCATTGACGACTCTTTCAAGACTCTACGATCTGCCGAGGGAGCATTTGACATGATTCTCAACTTCAGGCATATCAGGTCTCGAGAAGCTATCAACTCTCAAATGATGAAAAAGTTCAACGAGATTTTGACGCAGTTTATGAAGGAGGTCGATTTGATGGACAATATGTTCAAAGACGGTATCAACAACCCGCCTATCTACAAGAATCAACCTCCAGTAGCTGGAGCTATTGCCTGGTCTAGGTCTCTCTTCTTCAGGAACAAAAGAACTGTGTTACGGTAAGCAATAATTCAGTACATTTTTAAATAGTGTCGATTTTTGATACGCGATTTTTTGTTAAATATTAGAACACAACTTTCACTGATAAAAGTGATGTCAAAGTTATAATAGAAGTGTTACTAAAAATTGATGTTTTCAGGTTCAAGACCCTTGAGGAGATGCTGCAAGGTGAGCTGGGAGTGGTAGCTAAAGAACACTACCTCAATACAGCACGTCAGATGAAGGCATTTGAAGATAAGCTGTATGAAAACTGGTTACAGAATGTGGAGAACACTCTCAACGTTCATCTCAAGAAACCAATCCTGGCTATCGGTAACTAGTCCACTTTCGTGACCATTTACAAACATGAAAATATTGTAAAATTACTTCATAGTACAAAGCGTTTTCTAAACTGTTCACCGACAATGCGCCGTGATATTTTAACGGCGCATTGTCCTTGATCAATATGATATTGACCCAAACGACTGCCGATGTCAGACAGTTTAAGAAACAACTCACAAAAAACCGCCACTCCCCCAGGAATATCACCAAACCCAGACGCTGAAGCAGAAGCTCAGGGTGCTGGTGGAGACGACAGTGGAGCTCCCCAATACTACGTCAACTTCTCTCCTGAACTAACAGAGATCATCACTGAGACCAAGTACCTAGAACAACTTGGCTTCATGGTTCCTGAACTGGCTCGAAATGTGGCCCTCCAAGAGGAGAAGTTCTCACGTTATGTTGATGGGTTGAAGCGCATGTTGGCCCGTTATTACGATGCACTGGCTCTGTTGAATGCAGCAGAGATGCAGTTGCTGGACGATCATATCAAGGATCTACAGAGGGTACTGCGTGCTGGTTACAAGCGTCTTAACTGGAACTCGCTGGGTATCCCTGACTTCATCGGAAGATGCAGCCATGCAATCGGTTAGTGTCTTAATCTGATACGTTGTATGTAATATAATCGGAGACAAGTTCGTTTTTCGTGAAAACTTAACGTCACTTAGATTCAATTTTTGTGTTAATGAAGTATTTAAACCTATCTACATTGTTAAAATGTAGCTGATGATAATTTTGTGTTACAGGTAAGTTTGAGTCACTAGTGAACCAGATCCAAAAGAACGCTGATGACATAAACTCTCGTCTGGGAATGATCGAGAACGCTGACATGTTCAAACAACCACCAGCACTGTCAGGTGGCCTCCCACGTGATGCTAAGGACTACTTCGAGTACATCGAGATCCACAGAGCTAAGACAGTAGAGACTCTGTCTCAGAAATACCGCGCTATTGGACCACTGCTCACTAAGATGGAGGGACTGGTTGTGAACACTAACACTGGCAAATCCACTAAACTCAGAAGTTATTACGCTTACTGGGAGAAGAGAGCATTTGAGGCTCTCGAGAAAATGGTGCAGAACAACTTGACAACTTTCAATAACCAGCTGCAAACAAAAATGTTGTTCAGTGTTGATGCCATGCTGTCACCACCAGATATTATAGTTAATCCACCATACAATGAACTCTTCAAACATCTCATGCAGGTAGATACGCTGCTGACTTATTTTTATTTCTCGAAAATATTTTTGTTGTTCAATGTGTCCAAAGAAGGTAATTAAAGAGTCTTCAGTTTTTCATAGAAAATGGTAATGAATATCTAATATCTTCTTCTTTAACATACGATGTCTTATTTCAGTCTGTACGAGGCTGTATAGAGAGCACAAAGAACTTTACTCGCTGGATGTCCGGAACTTGTATAGAAGTTCCCCCACAAGGAGAGAGGGAAGATGAAGCTGTGGTGTTCAGTTATCACTCTGATATCCAGAACGTGGCCTCTATTACCGACATGTCCATGATTGTGAGCCAGACTATCACCAAGAGCCTTGGAGCGTAAGTAGTGAGCATGACTAAGAATGTTTCTTGAATACTTAATGAACTATTTGTAAAGATCTAAGATATTTAAAATTTAACATTAGGTATTACCGACAATGATAAAACTTCAGTTTGAAGAACGTCCTTAATAAGTGGAAGAAATATCGACCTCTGTGGAAACTCGATAAGACCATTATGATGGAGAAATTTGCCGCTAAAAAACCCAGCTGCGTTTCCTACGATGAGAAACTTCAATCTTACTGTTCTCTAAAAGAACAGGTTAGTTTCATATTTGTTTAAACTTTTGACGATCCTCAACAATTACCTTTTGAATGTTATTATCCGGTTTTCAATGATTTCTAAGAATCTGTTAAGGGGGGGGGGGGGGGGGGGGGTTCGCCCTGATTTTTTTGTGAAACTTGGTTTAGAGATAGCATTTGACCAACAAACTAAGACCAGTGACCGAACTTTTGAGGGGGTCCCGGACCCCAACCGCCAAACGGTGCCCGCGGGGCAGCCACGCCCATATTTGGTCTAAATTAGGCCCAATTTAGCCAAATACCCTGAACATGCCCAAAATCCAGATTTTAGGTGCTCTACTTGTAGCTAGTGGTCCCCTGAACTCGTATATGAATTTTAATCAAGATTGGACAAAAAATGAGCCAAAGTTATGAGTTATGAGCCAAAAACCATATGACCATATTTGGGCATATGTGCCAAATTTGATCGATTTTGGCCCATAAATTAGTCAAATATCAATATTTTTGAATGAAACCAACTTTATATGGAAGGTAAGCCTATACTACACATTATATATGATTATCAGCTCAGTATCTACCTAACTGTGGATTCTGTGTTCAAATAATCGCAAAAGATGAACTAAATTGCCCATATCTCAGTTCGCGACATATATACGAGTTCAGCCTTCAGGGGACCACTAGCTACAAGTAGAGCACCTGAAATCTGGATTTTGGGCATGTTCAGGGTATTTGGCTAAATTGGGCCTAATTTGGACCGCAGGCACCGTTTGGCGGTTGGGGTCCGGGACCCCCTCAAAAGTTCGGTCACCGGTCCTAGTTTGTTGGTCAATCCCCCCCCCCCCCCCCCCCCCCCCCTTAAGATGAACGAGAAAATATTAGATTGATTCGTTACATTTGAATATAGGATGAGGTTTTGACTTTTGACTACAATATCTATAATAATATTTTGCAGGTGGGTAACCAGCCCATGGTAAAGGAGGTTGATTTCATCAGACTACACCTGGGACCGCTAGCTGAAAGTGTTCAGGATAACGCAAACGCTTGGGTTACTAGCTTAGGTGAGATTTAGATTGGAGTTATTGTTGGTTTTAACCTTAGGCTTTAAATTGAATATTTTGTTGATGAATTTTTGTTTTAACGAAATAAAGATTTCAAAGCATCGTATTGGTTTTTACTTTCATCAATTTCCAAGAAGCTGGGATCCTAACATTGAATTTTATCCTCTAGGAAAGTTGTTGAACATATCAGCTCGTGAGAACATGGAGAGTCTGAAGTCGACCATCGATCAGCTGAGAGTAGACTTGGGACGGGCTCCTGATACCTTGGAGGACTTGAAGTTTGTACTGAAGACTATCAGTAACATTCAAGATATCACCCTAGATGTGGAGACTCGAGCCAAGGATATAACTGAAAGGTACGCTATTAAAGTCATTAGGTTCTCATTAGGTCCTCTGAGTGCGCGCTCTTTTTGAAGCCTCTTCTCATATCTTCCCTCCTAGCCTCGTTTATTATTGTTTATAATTTACGATATCAGATAACTTGTTCATGTTTATTATTTAAACTCAACTTCTTCGTTTCAGATACCGAACATTGAGGATGTACAACATAGATGTACCTGAAAAAGAGTTCGAAATATGCGAGAAGATCGACGACGAATGGGCAGATCTTTTCGAGCAGAGTCGAAGAGTAAGTTGTTTTCTAGTTATCAAGTTATATTTTTTATTACTCGAGATTTGAGAGCATCTGGTAGTTTAGAACATGTGCTTGGATTTCAGACTATTCGGAGTTCAACTGTCAAAGCATGTATGTACATTGTACATGGCTTTTCTTCAGCATAGCCATTATACCTACGGGCTTCGACAAAATAACACCTTCATTTCTTCAGGTTAACCAGAGTTTGGTATCAGTTAAGAAGAAGTTCACTGAAATCACCCTGACCCAAGTTGAGAAGTTCAAGGAGGATCTCTCCGAGTTCCGAGAGAAGTTCTTACAGGAAGGACCAGGTTCGGTGGGCTACGATTTGGACAAGGGTATCACCCAACAGAAGATATTCAAGGAGCTGTTCGAGAAATACCAGAACGAGAGACAAGAGCTGGCCAATGCTGAGAAACTCTTCGGTCTTCCGATCAGTATGTATCCAGATATGATCTCGCTGGAGGCGGACATGCAAGGATATGACATGATTTACAGTCTGTATAATGACCAAAAGAAAGGCCAAGAAGAATGGTCTCAAACTCTGTGGGCCAATCTTAACATCTCTGTATTGTCGGAAGGAATTGAAGTCTTCCTTAAGAGGTTGAGAAGATTCCCGAAGAATATCCGTGCTATGGGTATCTGCAACATCTTAGAGGCTAAAATGAAGGAGTTCCAAGACTCTATCCCACTCTTCCAGGATCTTAAGAACGATGCATTGAGAGAACGACATTGGAAGAAACTGATGGAGCTCACTGAAAAGAACTTTGAGATGAATCCTGACACATTCACCCTGGACCAACTGTTTGCTATGGAACTTCACAACTTTAGTGAAGTTATCGCAGATATTACCACCAGCGCTGTTAAAGAGTTGAGCATCGAGAACGGTCTTAAAGAGATTATTGACATCTGGAATGGCACCAAGTTCAACGTATTGAAATACAGCAAGGGAGGTCAGGACCGTGGTTTTGTCCTTGGTCCAGTCGAAGAGATCATGCAATCGCTAGACGATAACGCCATGAATTTGCAGAGCATGTCAGCTTCTAGATTTGTCGGACCTTTCCTTGAAAAGGTGCAAAGTTGGGAAAAGAAGTTGTCCCATATCTCTGAAGTGGTTGAGGTTTGGATGGTAGTGCAGAGAAAGTGGATGTATCTGGAAGGTATCTTCATCGGAGGAGACATCCGTCATCAGCTCCCTGAGGAGGCAAAGAAGTTTGATCTAATCGACAAAGCTTTCAAGAAGATAATGAACGACACAGCCAAAACAATGGTGGTGCTGGACGCTTGTCATGCTGATGCTAGACTCACCACTCTGGAGAAGCTCAGTTCTGATCTGGAGAAGTGTCAGAAGTCTCTAAACGATTATCTGGACTCCAAACGAAACGCTTTCCCTCGTTTCTTCTTTATCTCGGACGACGAGTTGCTTTCCATCCTGGGTTCCTCGCAAGCTACTTGTGTACAGGAACACATCATCAAGATGTTCGACAACATCAAGTCTCTGAGATTTGAAGTTGGTAACGCAGACGAATACACCGCTACTGCCATGGTCTCCAGTGAAGGTGAGGCGATGGACTTCAGAACACCAATAGCAGCTGAGGGCAGAGTTGAGGACTGGATGACGAGCGTGTTGAATGAAATGAGACGAACAAATCGTCTGCTGACAAAGGAATCAGTTTACTATTATTGTCACGAGATTAAGAGGATTGATTGGATGGACCAATACCAAGGTATGATTGTACTGGCTGGCAACCAAGTCTGGTGGACCTGGGAGGTTGAAGATGTGTTCACCAAGGTGAAGAAGGGAGACAAACTAGGAATGAAGAACTACAGCGTCAGGATGCATGCTCAGATCAGTGAAATGGTCACCAGGGTCCGTGAGAAACTATCATCTAACGACCGTAAGAAGTACAACGCAGTGCTGATTATTGATGTTCACGCCCGAGACATCGTAGACGGGTTCGTCCGAGACAGTATCCTCGACATCAGAGAGTTCGAGTGGGAGTCACAGTTGAGGTTCTACTGGGAGCGAGACATTGACAACCTGCAGGTCCGGCAATGTACCGGTACATTTGACTACGGTTACGAGTACATGGGTCTAAACGGTCGTCTTGTCATCACTCCACTTACTGACAGAATCTACCTGACCATGACACAGGCTCTCTCCATGTACCTGGGTACTGCTCCTGCAGGACCTGCTGGTACTGGTAAAACAGAGACTGTAAAGGATCTCGCTAAGGCCTTCGGTCTTCTTTGTCTTGTCACCAACTGTGGTGAGGGTATGGATTTCAAGGCTATCGGTAAGATTTTCTCTGGGTTATGTCAGTGTGGTGCTTGGGGTTGTTTCGATGAGTTCAACCGTATTGATGTGTCAGTACTGTCTGTCATCTCATCTCAAATCAAGACCATCCAAAATGCCCTTATTATGAAGCTGGATAGGTTCCAGTTTGAAGGCACTGAGATCGCTATGGACGGCAGGATGGGTATCTACATTACGATGAACCCAGGTTATGCTGGCCGCACAGAACTTCCAGAGAGTGTAAAAGCTCTCTTCAGACCAGTGGTCGTCATTGTCCCAGATCTCCAACAGATCTGCGAGATCATGTTGTTCTCTGAAGGGTTCGAGATGGCTAAGATCCTCGCCAAGAAAATGACAGTGCTCTACAAACTAGCCAGAGAACAGCTCTCAAAACAGCACCATTACGATTTCGGTCTACGTGCTCTGAAAGCTGTACTGGTAATGGCTGGTGAACTGAAGCGAGGCTCCGCAGATCTCCCTGAAGATACAGTACTGATGAGAGCGCTCCGTGATATGAACTTGCCTAAGTTTATATTCGAGGACGTGCCTCTCTTCCTTGGTCTAATCGGTGACTTGTTCCCTGGTTTGGACTGTCCGAGAGTCAGATACCCTAGATTCAATGACGCTGTGGAAGAAGCCTTCACTGAGAACAACTTCATATTACTTGAAGATCAAGTCGACAAAGTGGTGCAGCTTTACGAGACCATGTTGACTCGTCATACCACAATGGTGGTAGGACCCACTGGTGGTGGTAAAAGTGCTGTTATCGACACCCTCAGTCGAGCCCAGACCAAACTTGGCCAACAAACCAAGATATACACCATGAATCCCAAAGCAGTGACGGTAGTTGAACTCTACGGTATTCTAGATCCCGTCACTCGAGATTGGACGGATGGACTACTTTCCAACATTTTCCGAGAGATCAACCAGCCTACTGAAAAGAAGGAGAGACGATACATCTTGTTTGATGGTGACGTCGACGCACTGTGGGTGGAAAACATGAACTCTGTGATGGACGACAACAAGCTGCTGACTCTGGCTAACGGAGAGAGAATGAGACTCCAATCTCATGTGGCCCTCCTGTTTGAGGTGGCTGATCTTCAGTACGCTTCACCTGCCACTGTCTCCAGATGCGGTATGGTCTACGTGGATCCCAAGAATTTGAAGTACGAGCCGTACTGGAATAAATGGGTCAATGCTAGATCGTTAAAGTCCGAACAGGAAGAATTCCATAGATTGTTCAATAAATATGTTCCTCCCCTGCTTGAATACATCCTTGAGGGTGTAATGGGAGGAAAGAATGTCCCAAAGCTAAAAACAATTGTCCCCATATCAGACATACGAATGGTAACGCAATTGGGCATCCTTTTGGATGCTCTGATTCCAGATCAAGGAGAAACAGGCGGAGCTACTACTGCAATGCTAGCAACTGATACCATAGAGGCTATCTTCATCACATCTCTCTGCTTCTCTTTGGGTGGTCCCCTATTGGAGGATGGACGGATCAAATTTGATGAGTATCTCAAACAGCTTGCTTCTCTCGGAGCGGCTAACAGTGATACAGCCAGACCTAGCGAGCTTCCCACAAGCAAACCTACTCTCTTTGATTACTACTTTGATCTGGAAAACAACGAATGGAAAGCTTGGTCCCTGATGGTGGAACCGTACATCCACGACCCAGAGAGGTTGTTTACTGAGATCCTGGTTCCTACAGTGGACACTACACGTGCTACCTGGCTTATTGAACACATGATCCGAATCAGACAACCTATCGTGCTGGTGGGTGAAACTGGTACTTCTAAAACTGCTACCATTAACGAGGTGTTGAGGAATGTTGACAGAGATTCTAATTTAGTTCTCAACATCAACTTCTCCTCTCGTACTACATCTCTTGATATCCAGAGGAATTTGGAGTCTAATGTTGAGAAACGAACTAAGGATTCGTTTGGACCTCCTGCCGGCAAGAAACTCCTTGTCTTTATGGACGATATGAACATGCCTGTCGTTGATACATACGGTACCCAGCAGCCGATAGAACTTTTGAAGTTGCTCCTTGAAAAGGGTGGTATGTACAATCGTGGCAAGGACATGCAGTGGAGATTCTTCCGAGATATTTCCTACCTAGCATCTATGGGTAAAGCAGGTGGTGGTAGAAACGAAGTTAACCCCAGGTTCTTATCCCTGTTTACTGTATTCAACATGGTCTTCCCTGAGGAACAAACCCTCAATCACATTTACTGCACCATTCTGAAAGGACATCTGCAGACGTTCTCAAAAGAGATACAAGATCTGGCGCCAAAACTAACAGAGATAACGCTTGAACTCTACTCCTTGATTGTAAAAGAACTTCCTCCTACTCCGTCCAAATTCCATTACATCTTCAATCTCCGTGATCTGTCAAGAGTTTACTATGGACTGTCTCTGACTCTACCAGAACGATACGCTGATGTTGGATCGTTTGTAAGAGTCTGGAGAAACGAATGCTTGCGTATCTTCCATGATAGGCTGATCAACGCTGATGATAAAATACTAGTGCGAGGCCACTTGACCGATTTGATCAATTCCAACTTCAACAAAGAAGCAGATGTTGTGTTGAGAGACCCCATTCTTTACGGAGATTACAGAGCAGCCCTCAACCCAGAGACTGAACCAAGAGTATACGAGGATTTACAAGACTTTGACGCATCTGGAGCACTCTTCACAGAGATCCTAGAAGAGTACAACCAAACGTTTAACCCAATGAACATCGTCCTGTTCGAGGATGCCCTGGACCACGCTACCCGTATTCACAGAGTCCTGAGGATGATTGAAGGACACGCTCTGCTTGTTGGTGTCGGAGGTTCTGGTAAACAGAGTCTCACCAGACTGGCTGCTTTTGCTGCTGGATGTGATATATTCGAGATTCAACTGTGCAGAGGATACAATGAGGACAGCTTTAAGGAGGATCTCAAGATCCTGTACAACAAGCTAGGTATCGACAACAAGCCAACTGTGTTCCTGTTTACGGAGGGTCACGTGGTTGAGGAAGGATTCCTGGAGCTGGTTAACAATATGTTGACCACTGGTCAGGTTCCGGCCCTCTTCCCTGATGACGAGAAGGAGGTTATTATCGGTAATGTGAGAGACGAAGTCATGAAAGCAGGTATCAACCCAAACAAGGAGAACTGCTGGAACTACTTCATCAGGAAGGCGTCATCTAACCTTCACATCGTGTTGTCCATGTCCCCGGTAGGAGAATCCTTGAGAACCCGGTGCAGGAACTTCCCAGGTATGGTAAACGGAACCGTCATTGATTGGTTCCTGCCCTGGCCTGTTCAAGCTCTCGAAGCTGTGGCATCTACTTTCTTGGGTGGTGAAAACGCTCTGATCCCTGAAAAACATCGTGATAATCTTATCCAGCATATTGTCCTGGTTCACCAAGCTGTTATAACCTCAAGTACCAAGTTCCACAGCATGCTCAGGAGGGTGAATTACGTTACTCCAAAGAACTATCTTGATTTTGTGAGTACTTTCCTTCGACTGCTCGAGGAGAAGGATAACTTCGTTATGAACCAGTGCAATCGACTGGAAGTCGGTTTATCGAAGCTGGTCGAAGCCTCTAAACAAATTGACGAGCTGAAAGCAAAGTTGGAAGTACAGAAGGTTGCAGTTAGTGCCAAGACAACTTCATGTAACGAACTGCTTAAAGAAATTGAACAACGTGAAGAAGTAACCAAACTGAAGCAGAAAGAAGCTGTCAAAAAGAGTGCAGACATGGAGGAACAAAACAAGCTCATCATCGTCGAGAAAGCAGATGCTGAAGAAGCTCTGAACATGGCGCTGCCTGCTCTGGAAGCTGCTAGGAAAGCTCTGGAGAACCTTGAGAAGCGAGATGTTGTTGAGATCAAATCGTTTGCCACACCACCAAGACAAGTGCAAGCAGTCTGTGAGTGTGTCCTGGTTGTCAGGGGTATTAGGGATGTTTCGTGGAAGAGTGCTAAGGCAATGATGTCTGAGAACAATTTCTTGCACAACCTCATGAACCTGAATGTGGACGGTATTACTAACGCTCAGGTTAGGACAGTAAGAAACATCATGAAGGAGAATCCTGACTGTAACGCCGAACGTATGCAGGATATCTCCAAAGCTGGTGCTGGTCTTTATGACTACGTCACTGCTATCCTTGGATATTGTGCCGTTGCAAGGGAGATCAAGCCCAAGAGAGAAAAGGTGGCCAAGCTTGAAAAGAACTTCCAGATCAGTAAACGAGAACTGGACAGGATTACAACGGAATGTACGAGTCTGTCTGCTGAGCTAGAAGATCTCGGCCGCAGATTCGAGGAAGCAATGTCAGAGAAACAGCAGCTCCAAGACGAAGCCGAACTTATGAGTAAACGTTTGGACGCTGCCCAGAAGTTGATCTCCGGTCTCTCGTCCGAGAAGGGCCGATGGGGCGTTGATCTGGAAGGGTTGCTGAAGAGAAGGACTTGTTTGCTAGGTGATTGTATGGCCGGATCTGCCTTCCTCTGCTACGTTGGAGCATTCAGCTTCGAATTCCGAGAGGAACTACTGCGAGATGTTTGGGAAGCAGATTTGAAAAAGAGAGATATTCCAATGAGCGAGCCCTTCAAACTAGAGGGTCTACTTACTAACGATGTTGAAATCAGTCAGTGGACCTCGGAGGGTCTCCCACCTGACGAACTGTCGGTACAGAACGGTATCCTAACCACTCAGGGCAGCAGGTTCCCTCTGTGTATCGATCCTCAACAGCAGGCATTGAACTGGATCACCAAACGGGAAGAAAAGAACAATCTCAAAGTTTGTACTTTCAACGACAACGATTTCTTGAAGCAGCTGGAACTTGCTATCAAGTACGGATTCCCCTTCTTGTTTAAGGATGTAGACGAGTACATTGATCCTGTGATAGACAATGTTTTGGAGCGGAATATAAAGGGTACGGGACAAAGACAGTTCATTGTCCTGGGAGACAAGGAGGTCGATTATGATCCCAACTTCAGACTCTATCTCGACACAAAACTTGCTAATCCCAAGTACAGCCCTGGAGTATTCGGTAAGTCTATGGTGATCAATTATACGGTCACCCTGAAGGGATTAGAAGATCAGCTGCTGAGTGTGATAGTCAAGTTTGAACGACCGGAACTTGAGGAACAAAGAGAGAAGTTAATCCAGGAAACGTTCCAGAACAAACAGAAGTTGAAGGACCTAGAGGATACCTTGCTGAGAGAGTTGGCTAACTCCTCCGGCAACATGCTTGATAACACCGAGCTGATCTCTACTCTAGAGGATACCAAAACCAAGGCCGCTGAGGTGACGGAGAAATTGAAGCTGTCTGTAAAGACGGGAAGTGATATCGAGAGGACTAGGGACGGATACAGGAAGGCTGCTAATCGTGGTGCTGTCCTCTTCTTCGTCCTATCAGACATGTCGGTCATCAACCCTATGTACCAATACTCACTGATGGCGTTCCTAGAAGTGTTCAACATATCTCTGAAGAGATCACTCCCCGATTCTCTGCTAAATAAGCGTTTGAGGAACATTATTGATACGCTGACTCAGAACATATACGCTTACGCCTGTACTGGATTGTTCGAGATTCACAAATTACTCTTCTCCTTCCAGATGACCATCAAGATTCTTCAGGCAAAGAATGAAATGCGACTTGACGACTTAGACTTCTTCGTCAAAGGTAACATTTCTCTTGAGAAAAGTCCCAGGAAGAAGCCTCATGCCTGGATTCCAGATCAGGGTTGGGAGGATCTAGTCAAATTTAATGAGATTTGTGCCGATGGAGGAGACATCGCAGGAATGGTTGAGAGATCAGGCGAACAATTTAGGAAATGGAGTGAGTGTGACGACCCTGAATCGCAATCTCTACCTTGCGGTCTCAACGACAAGCTGGATAACTTCAGACGACTCTGTGTCGTCAAGTGTTTCAGAGTTGATCGGGTTTACAATGGTGTTACCAATTACGTTACCGAGAAGATGGGAGAGAAGTTTGTTACTCCTCCTGTTGTAACATTTGAAGCTATTTTCGAGCAGTCCTCTCCGATTTCTCCCGTTGTTTTCATCCTGAGTCCTGGTTCTGATCCTGCATCTGATCTGATGAAACTGGCTGATAGAACAGGATTTGGAGGAAACAGACTCAAGTTCCTGGCTATGGGACAGGGTCAAGAGAAAGCAGCCTTGCAGCTGTTGGAGACTGCTGTCACAAGGGGACAGTGGCTCATGTTGCAGAACTGCCATTTGCTGGTGAACTGGCTGGTTGACCTTGAGAAGGCTCTGGAGAAGATCACGAAACCTCATCCTGAGTTCAGATTGTGGTTAACCACTGAACCAACACCAAGGTTCCCCGTTGGTATTCTACAGCGGTCATTCAAAGTGGTGACCGAGCCTCCTAATGGCTTGAAGCTTAATCTAAGACAGACTTATGTAAAGATTCCATCTACCACCCTGCAGGACTGTACTCACGACGCTTTCCCTCAGCTACTGTTCGTTCTCAGCTTCTTCCACGCTGTGGTACAAGAACGAAGGAAGTACGGTAAGATCGGTTGGAACATCCCATATGATTTCAATGAGTCTGATCTCCGTGTCTGTATGGAGCTTATGAAAACGTATCTGGACAAGTCCATGGGGGTGGATGGTAAGATCCCCTGGAGCTCTCTTAAATATCTTATTGGAGAGGTCATGTACGGAGGTCGAGCAATTGACGACTTCGACAGGAGAATCATCAGAACATACATGGACGAGTATATGGGAGACTTTATCTTCGATTCCTTCCAACCCTTCTTCTTCTACAAAGACAAAGACGTAGCGTACGACATACCAAAAGAAACACATCGTGACAAGTTCTTAGAGTACATTGAGGCTCTGCCTCTGGCCAACACCCCCTGTGTCTTCGGACTCCATTCCAATGCCGAGATTGGTTACTTCACCAACGCTGCCAAGGACATGTGCAGTTACATGATAGAACTGCAACCTCAAACCTCTGGAGCTGAGGGAGGTATCAGCCGAGAGCAGTACATTGAGAAAGTAGCAACTGAGATCGAGGAGAAGTTACCTGATTTGTTCGAACTTGATAGGATCAGAAGACAGCTAGGTGATATAACCCCTACTGCGGTGGTCTTGCTACAGGAGCTTGAGCGTTTCAATAACCTTATCGCTAAGATGAAGATATCGGTTGCTACCCTGCAGCGAGCCCTCGCCGGAGAGGTGGGTATGTCAGCCGAGCTGGATGAGATTGCTAAAGCGCTGTTCAATGGCCAGATTCCTGGGTCCTGGCGACGACTTTCTCCAGATACCCTTAAGAATTTGGGTAACTGGATAGCGCACTTTGAGAGAAGATTTGAGCAGTACTCCACCTGGATTGAGAAGGGAGAACCATCCGTGCTGTGGTTGTCCGGTCTCCACATTCCAGAGTCTTATCTCACAGCTCTTGTACAGGCTACTTGCCGTAAGAACGGCTGGCCTCTAGATAAGAGCACTCTTTACACCACGGTCACACAGCACACTAAAGCTGCTGATGTTAGGGAGAAATTACACTCTGGTTGTTACATTGAGGGTCTTTATCTTGAGGGTGGTTCTTGGGACGTTGAGAACGCCTGTCTCAGGAAATCTAAACCCAAAATCCTGGTCGAAGAGCTGCCTATTCTGAAAGTGATCCCGATTGAAGCACACAGGCTGAAGCTGCAGAACACCTTCAAAACACCTGTGTACACGACATCGGAGCGTAGAAATGCGATGGGAGTGGGCCTGGTGTTTGAAGCGGATCTCTCCACAACTGAACATAGTTCTCACTGGGTGCTACAGGGAGTAGCTCTCATGCTCAACGCGGATTAAAATACTGAGTGTCAAGATTTTTTAAGTGTAAATAGTATTAATTAATATATTCATCCAACTGAACATTAGAATTAAAAGTATGTATTAATTTATTGTTAGAAAAGCATCGTTTATAAGTATCTTATAGCCACAGAGATGTAGGTATAGATTTTTGTATTGTAAAATAAACTATAAAAGGGTGTAAAGTGTAAATATGCACAGCTTTTTTTCCCATTTTATAAAAGAGATTTTATTTTTGTTTTTGAAAAGTTTATAGTATGTTGCTTGTAGTGTTATTAGATGTCTTTAGTTTTTCCTCAGTCACCGTTTGAATCTTGTTTCTATAAATGATAAAAAATGATATAAAAGTTGCACCTGTAGAACATCTGAAACGGTCTTCTTTAACTGAAATTGGAACGCGCGGCTCCAATTTTAATGTAAAAAGATTTAAGCGCAACGGCTGTGCGTGACTTGGTTTCCATGGCGACAGTAAACTTGCATACGAATTGGCCACACCATGGTCAAGGTGATGGCTACTGCGATCATGTTCCAACATATCGGCAACAAGCAATATTCTGAATTAATCAAGCAAAATTATGCTCTCGGTATATTTTCATAATGCTCTCCAGATAGAACAGATTACAAAAGATGTGTTCATTGTTCACTTTCAGGCATCAGGGGTGGGTTGCTTTAATGCTCTAGGTGCCGCCCATAAAATACGTCCGTGATTAATTTGGCTACCTTTTGAAAACAACAGTATACAAACTGTAAACATAGTCTATCCCATGTTCGATTTCTTGAATGCCATTGCATAGCAGCCAATTTGCAGATGAAATTTGTCCTTCAAGAGAAACACTGTTAATTCAGCTTTAATTTTCAAACTTAAAAATTAATTAATAAAACATTCTGAAACACCAAATCGGATTATGTCAAAATTAACTGTTGGTCCTAGGGAGAAGTCATAAAAATCCCTGACTTTTCCTTTCTTAAAATCGTCTAAGAAATATATAAAATTTATAAAATATACATGCACTTAAAAATAATATAAATATTTATTATTAAATTATTAATAATAATGTCGTTCTCAGGCGTATAATGACTGGGATCAATTCACAATGACTGATATAATATAAAAATATAGATCTCTATAAATAGCTTTAATTACATATCTTTGTGAAGTAATTTAATTAAGAACCTGTGAAATTACAAAAAATCCGTACTAAAATAATCAAAATCATAAAAACTTAATATATATAACTGTGTCCTTCCACAAATCTGTAGGTTTGGTCGGGGCTAGTTTGGTCGTGATAAAATGGGAGTCTATCTGACGAGCTTTACAAATCCTCGTCCTTTATGTACCTGTGAAAATAAGAGATTAAATTCGTATCCTTAAATATCTTACAAAGACTACATGAAAAACATCGAACTCTGAAGATTTGTGGAGAAACTAAAAATGTTGGTAACATTTTTGGCAAATCCGCTATCAAGGGTTGACATTAAAATGATCAGCCATAATATTAATAATGCTCCATAGTTAAATCTAAATGGTTGTTCTGAATCACGGCTAAAGCGAAAAACTGACAATTAAGTTTAAGTGCCACAATTCATATGAACAGAGCAATTTTCCTAATATTAGTAAAGTAGTGTTATAAAGTGTTATAAAGTTGTTGTACTCTATAAGTGTAAACAAACCTATTTCCCTCACACCACACATTCTTGTAGGGGTCGGCGTTTCTGACTGTAATGACTGCTGGGGCCTTGTCCTCCGGCAGTGTTATCAGCAAATCGTTGGGATCTTCTGGTATGTCTATCCAGATAAAGTCCTCCCCAAAGAAAATACCACTATCGGACATATCGACATGTGCTGGAATAAGTAAAAAAGATATTTAGTTACAAATTGATTAATAAATCTAAGCAATATTTTGTTATTGACTAAATAGGCTACAATCTAAGATATTCTGGACGGTTAAATAGGAAGATGCCAAAATGATAAACTAAAACTAACAAGCAAACAATGCTTTGTCCACTGAAAGATTACAATTTCGATACAGGGACATTTAAGCGATCAAATTATAACCGTCCAAATTATCGTCAACAGGGTGGTTAGTTGATCTTAAATTACTTTACTTTACTGAAATTTGGACTTTTTTTTGCGTAAATTGCCTAAGATCAATGAAATATGAGACTGTAGGAGTAAAATAAACACGAGTCAACACATGTGACAGATATTAGATGCTTCTCAAATAAGTTACATTCGCTAACACGAAAGTACAATTAGCTGCATCCCTACACTCTACAGACACTTTTATCAAACTCAATGATCGATCTGATTATGAATTAGTGATTAATTAAGACATACTTTTGGTTATGTTTAATATTAAGCCAGTAGTAATTTCCTGCTAAATTGACAGTGTTTTCAGGGATGCAAGTGGTACTATGGTGTTAGTAGTAATTTCTAAAATCATCTAGATGAGGGTATGACAAATATGAAAACATAAAATTTCTTATAACGATCCACATATTTTTAGAGACATGTTCAGTTTTATCAGAATAAAGGTACCCACATGACATGAGGTTGAATATCAACGTGAACAAATCTTCATCATTTCAAATCCATCTCATCCCATTCAGAATGCTAAGGGGTAAATTTTGAGAAATGGAAAGTCTGTTTACCGCCCAAAAAACTTCAAAGCTAAAAATTTCATGAAAATAGGACATCAAGAAATTCTCATTTCTCCCTATTATTAGGATTATTTTGCGGAATGTAAAACATCAAATACTTTTGTAAAACCTGAAATCGCAGTAATCTAAATCTCATCATTGTAAATCGTTATTTCAGTTTCCGAATCGAAAGTATTGAACGACGTTAATAACTTATTAAAAATCTAAAACATTTTATCCGAAAATTCGTAAAAACTCCTATTCCTGATCGAATCTTAAAAACCAATTTCTATTTCTGAACCCAAATTAATAAGGATCATAATATTTACTTGATTTTATAATATAGTTTAATAAATTAAAGATAATATCCATCATGCAATTACATATACTTATTACTTATCCGTACTCCTAAAAACCATACAAAATTTCGCTTAATTAATACTTTCTATAACACAACAGTCGAAACGAATGTTTTGAATCTAAAAAAAACAATCATGTAACTCCATAAACCAGAGTATTTCAAATTTAAATATTTCAACGAACTGAATTAAGTAATTCTCCGCTCGGATTCTAAAATTATAACTTATTAGATTATCTGTCTTCGGACTTTGTCATGGTAATATTCCGTTGACGTCCAGAAATATAAAACGGACAGGGTCGTTGAATAGACTACAAAGTTTTGCCCGACAATCCGTCAAATTACTTCTAAAACAGCTGTAATGACCGATCGTATGGTCAGCCTTAATAACCAAGGTCAGCTTGAATGACTGACTAATGCAGCTTGCAATGTTATTGATCGTACTATATACCGAAAGCTTTTAGCTAACGTTAATCTGCACTTTGTATCACTACTTTTGCCCGAATGTGGCGTGCACCATTTGGAGGTCTATTAAAATAAAAAACTAGCTGATCGAAATTTTATTCAATCAGTGACAACCTCAAATCTCAATTATCTAAATTTCAATACACGCCACAGATCTGACTGACATTATAGAACGTAACACAATACATCCCAGCTTATATATCTAAATGCAATCTATCTCAAGTCACTGCTATGAAGTGTTGGTATAATTAAAAAGAGAATGCAGTCCTTCTGGTCCATCCTGTTGTACAACTACCACGTCCTTTTTCTGGAACTGCAGCGGTCCCAGTTCCGTTATCTTGTAATGCTGTTTCCCAGCCTCGCTGATAGGGCGTGATATTATAGGATTAACCACGCTCTGGAGCGAGTCTCGCAAGTTCCTTTCGCTGATTGACGGAGAATCCAGATTCTTGAAGAACCGGTCGATCTTCTCCAGCACCACGTGTGGGATTTGGGAGAGCACGCCGCGCGTCACATGTGGAATTGTGCGGTGAGTAAGCCGGATGATTGAGACGATAACATTTAGGAGAGTGTAGAGGCAGTTGTCGTGTTGACCGTGTATTTGTAGAGCTTGGATTGCTTTTACTAGGAACGTGTAGGTTGCCTCGTCAGATAATGGCTGTCCTGTGGAATTAGAGACGTGAATTTTAATGTTGCCATGTGTGGGGTGACATACATAGCAGTCCGATAGTTTCACTGCATCTAAATCATGTAAATCATGTAAATATAATGTAGGATAATGCAGGATGGGAAATTAAGTGTAGGTATTAAATGCAAATATTCGAATACAGAACATGAGTAGGTAAAAATTCACATGAATAAAGTGTATATATTCCGCATAAATGCAAAATATGGCATTTTGCAGACCTTCCACAGTTATATACATCCTTTACACACGTATATATCGACAGGTGTGGTAGAATAAAAAATACATTAACAAAATACAATATCAGACGTCTAACTGACATAGCGTCGAGAGTGTCACTAAAAAATACCACATTGTACTTACCAGTAGTTGTGATAAGTTTAATGGCGTTGTGAGCCATAGCACAGGCTCTGTTACTGGACACACCATCTCCCCAAGCCATGCAAGAAAATACAGACATGAGAAGAGGACCGGAAATGGATTTCTCCTTTATCAAATGTTCCGTTATCGGGTTAAACTGTCCAGACTTCCTCTTGGTTCCCTTTTTCTTATTCATGCTGTGGATGTTAAGATCAACCATAATGTTAAGATAACAACGAGCCTTTACGAAACATAAACAATTCAACGTTAATGATTTATCTAATGTATCCGGGTGGGCTTCCGGGTTTACCATTCTAAATGTAAATATTCTAAATAAATTATTAAGTTAGATTACGACAAATGAAAGAGTTAAAACATTGTAAAGAATGTGGCTCACCTGAAGAAGTGAGATAAAAGTTCGCAATATTCTCTCGTCACAATGAGAACCATGTGGTCGTTGAAGATTTCGTCAAGTTCAGCGCTTGATTCATTGTAATCATCTGCAAGGATAAGCATATTTCATTTACTGTTCTACAAGATTACTCTTCTAAAGGTTTCTACAAAACTATTAGATACTAAACCATTCTACAAAACTACTTTGGGGCCAGAACTGTAAATTTAGATACACGTTATCTAATAAATTGTTTAAAAAATTATTTCTGATAAATCAGAAAAACAATATATTATTCTGATAAGAAACACAAGTAGATTATCAGAGTTTTGTCAGTTCTTGTAGATTAACTTTTCCTGTGATTCTAAGATTGGGTAACTTCTAGTGAAAGTTAAAACCAGCTATTTTCATTGTCAAATTCCGAGTAATCTGAGAACCATTCCAAGAATTGGAACTATTCCAAGAATTTAGATTTACACCTACCGGATGTGAGAACAAGCTTCCTGGCCTGAATCTGCTCCCACTCAGCAGAGAGACGTTTGTAGACTGTGTCAAGTGTCACCTGAAGCAGTGTTAGTTATAAACCTTGATAACAGTCAACACAATCAAGTTGCAGGGATACAATTTATTGCTTAAAAAGTCTCAAAAACCGTGATCTAACGACTTGAAACTTCGAAAATAACTTTTATCGGATCCATTTTGAGAAAAAAAAACAACAATGAAGTATTCACAAACCTGTAAGACTGGAAGACAAATGCCGAAATCCTCGAGAGGGCAGTTTGACAGATAGGGCTTGATAACGGAGTGTAATATAGCCTTGACACGCGGCATCTAGGAAATTCGCTGCGTTATTATCAAACAAATGTAACATGTCCGACATCCGTGCTAATACCAGACTGGTGATAGGAGTAGGACTGACTGCTTCATTTATCGCATATATTAATTTATTATAGTCTATCATAATTTCACATCAATAGACCTGGGCTCACCTGCATGGTAGCTAGATATTGAGCATAGCAGTCCATGATGATGTTGGGGAATGCGCTCCACTTATAGATATCACGTGATAGGTTGTTACACAGACTCTCGATAAGCTGGTTAGAGTAGTCTGTAAGAGCAACCATGTTCATCCTGAAAGAGGGTTGTGTTACGTTTCACTAACCGTACGGAAACACAATTTCCGCTGTTGATCAACAGCGGAAGAAAAAACATTTTACATTAGCATGATAAAGTAAACTTAGTTTGTGAGTAGTAAACTTAGTTTGTGAGTAGTAAAATGTAAATCAATACATGTTATGTAGCCTCTACCTGAAAGAAGGAACATTGTTAGTGCGCTTGTCCAGCAAAGTGCAGTATATCATCTTCGTTTCCTTGTCTGGTGCCAACGGACCTATAAAAGACGATTTATTGAAGAAATGAATAAGTTGGTAAGATAAACACTGTAATATTTATGGCTATTTTAATAAATCTAAAGAAAATCTGTGGCACTCCATGAGATAGAGCCCGATATTAAACGTAATATTTCCAAAAGAAATTCATCCCATCACCTCCTTATTCACCTTTCAACCAAGGGAAGTCCTTGTAAACAACATCGCACCAGAACCCGTTTATCTGCTTGTTGAGAGCAAAGACTCGCTCAAGATAAGGGAATACCATCTGGAAAGCAGGTTTTGGTGCTCCTGGCTTAGTGAACCGTTTGGAAATAGCACAGAGGGTAGCCCCACTCAGCTTGATCTGTTTTATTGGTGTTGTAACTGCTGTTATGTTGGTCGGGGATACCTGAGGGTTTGCAGTGATGAGTCTTATATTGTTCTGCTGTTTGGTAAGATACGCTTATTAATATTATTTGTCATATTTCATATCTAACCGCAATGAGGCATTATCTTTAGATTTCAATAAGTATTAAAACTAATTGTGATATACAAATGTACTCAACAAAAGAGCAAAGGAGACAAATACTAACCTCTAAAAGCTGAAGGAAAGACGAGAATTGAGAACAACGGTTAACAAGATCAGGAGTATCAAGGAATGTGGTTAGAGGAGATATAAGTTGGTGGATATATTGTATCTGTTTCTCCAGATCCGGGATATTGTTACTACCTGATATCAGGGCCTCCAGGATCAGCAACATTGACCCGTACCTGAAAAGTGGGCCAGGGTTAGAAGGTTATTTTTAACTTAAGGGGAAATGTTTAGATGGTTCTGAACGGGGCACTGGAAATGTACCCCGAAGAATCAGCGCACCGACTAGAGAACCAACTGCAGGACACGTCAGGATAAACAAACAGACGTTGTGCCAGTAAGTACAAGTGGAAATGGGCCAAGGGACAAACTTCTGAAATTCAACACCCTTAAAAACCCCAATTCGATAATAATATATAATGGTCCGAGAATAAAAATTCGAAAATCCAATGCCACCAATGTTCTAATTGAGCAGTGAGCACAGATTACGTAATGGGTAATATTTCAATTTATTCATGATCTAACCTCATATTACAATCCATCACAGTCTCTGGAAATATGACAGAAGATTCAAATGTAAAAAATGTAACGGTGTAAACTTTAAGTACAAACCTCTGATTATCTATCTGAGTAAGGAGGTTATCATAGAGGGATTGCATTGCTTGGAAGACCTCCCAGGTTATCACAGAAGGGTAGTTAGTTACAAATCTGAGCAAGCAACTAGAAGTGTGGCGATGGAGGTCACTAACCAGCACACTCATGTTTTCCTTGATAGATCCTGCTCAGGAGGAGGTGGATTTAATAGGGAATGGGCTGATATGGGATTAGGAAGTTGTAGAAATATGTCTTATATTGTTATTAGTAAAGAGGGCTTTCAGAATTTAGAAGCTAATAACAAGGGCAAATGAACATAGAAGAGACCTTTTTAATCACTTTGCGTGAGCCGTATTAGAAACAAGAAAATTTACCTGGAAGGGTGCGTTCAAACTTTTTTCCCAGTAAATTAAACAGTTTCTCTAGCATGGGGATAGTTTGATGGTCACACAACCTAAAAGTAGGGACGTATCCGTTGATAGCCGACACATGCCAATAAGATATCAGAGGATCAGAGCTGTCAAAACCAAGCAGCAAACTCAAACTCTGCTGAATAGGATCGATCTTCAGTGGTGTTTTGCTCTTCAAACATGCTGTTATAGCTTTCTCTGTGAAGATTGAGAAATATTTCCAAACATTGAAGGGCGGGGTGTCATCCTGGCAAAGAGATTCAGTTGGGATAGGACTGTTGAGAAGCGCTCTCTGCCATTCAAACACCACTTCCAGTGATTCATTCGGACACAACTTTCCGGAGAGATCAACAATAGAAATCATCTTGCTCAGTAACATATTGTATATCTTCATGAGCTCGAAGTGATCCAGGACATCTCAGCTGGTTCTAATGGTTTGCAAAAATTCTTCATCGTCGCTTGAACCAAGTGGGGCACCACCATCTGCAGGTCCTCATTTGTTTTAAGTTGGTTAAAGTTAAGGAAGTGACCCACAAATCTACCACAATTGATCTGATGGATATCCGAGGGTTTTGATAAAATATCATCATCAATTGGAGGTATTTTTGGAATGCTTCTTTAGGTAATACGAGATCGTTTCGTATGATACCTGACACGTGGTTCTCTCCAACTGACACGTAAACTCTACACAGAGTCTTGAGAAAGAGATTTGCATCGTCGTCGATAGGAACCGAGCAGATCTCGTTGCTGATATCAAAGACCATCTTCATACATTCGTCATGAAGCATGAAATTAGTAAATTGGAGATTATCGTTAGCTGTGGTCTTCCGAGCTGCAATATTGTACAGAACGTCAGCTGCAGACTGTCTCAGAGTGTTGTTTCTCAGCAAGAGAAACAGAATAGTGCAGACGTGGGAGGTTTTGTCGTAGAGTGAGGAAACATGGAACCAAGTCATGGAACTTGCAGCGCTCAGCAGGTTTAAAGCGCTTAGACAAGTCATGAGGAGCGGATTGCTCAGCTGATTGTCGCCCTTATCAACAGCGCACTGTAACTTACAGGAAATCATTTCAACCAGCTGGTCTTTACAGAGACCTACAGATCGAAGCAGGTCACTTCGTCTTGCTGGGGTTAGCTTACTGTCTAACTCAATATCCTCGACAAGACGCGCCATAGCACTGAGCAGCACTTCACCCGCTGTATTATCTTGTTCTACGTTTCTTTTAACCACTGAGAGGAAATCTAACCACTGCTGCGGCCAATCACGCTTCAGAATCTCAGCAACAAGATTAGTGAGTGTGTTTCTAATCAGAGTTGATTCTTCTACCAAGTTAAGTGTTCCACCTTCAAGCATTCTATTGATTAGTAATGTCTTAAATTCTTGTTTGTCCACCTCACTGGCTCCTGACCATTTGAATTTCACATAATGGTCCAATAACTGATAACCAAAATGTCTGATCACTACAGAGTTTGTGGGTTTGGCTAGCTCCAAGCCAATGAGCGGGAGATTGTCACATGCTGTTTTGTAAGATTCTAATGTGTTGTAGGCTGCATTCCGTTGGGATGTAGTTGATTTTGGGGAGTGGATTGTGTTTATAGCTTCTACGATGGCCTGAGTTGACATACCCTAAATGTAAGCTGCTGTTAAAAACCAGTCGATAAAAATTATTAAATTCAACTTACAGATAGTTCGATCAAACGATACATTACTGTCACACGAATCTGCAGATAATTCATATTTCAAGTAACTCCAACTGGCAAAACTTAAAATCATCAAATTTAAATAAGCCACAGTGAAGTTCACATTATATTCATGGGAATCTTTACCGTCCAAATAACTGAAATAATGAAATTAATACAATAAGAACAAATATCTAAAGAATGTTATCTGAATGTAAAACTAGATTCCTTACATTAACATCAGGCATCTAACCAAACGTCGTCTACACAGTTACCGCGACCAAGTCACGCACCGGGTGAGGTTCTGAAAATTGATCGCTCGATTTTGAGCCGCGCATTTTAGCTCACCTCCTTCAACTATCAAATATCTCTTGTTAAGCGCCGTACGTAGACAAACATCTTCTTTCGTGACTGTTTTATAACCAGATCCAAGATGGCGTCACTCTGAGTCATGCGGGGCTGTTTCATTTCTGGGAGCAAATCCGGTATGGTCATTGACGTCATTCCTAAGATAACTACAAGCAACCTCATGATGATTTTCTTTCCTTTTCCAACTGCCTTCAAAACAGGAATAATCTAACCTTTAATGTTCAACAGCAGCTATTTCTTCATGAAATGAATATAAAACCAAAAGCTCGGTTAATCTGACAACTTTAACTTCCGTCTTCAAGAATAAAAGAAATTTCAATTCTGATTGTTTTTGTTAAAGAAATAGTTTAAGATCCCCATACATAAGAATAAATTTTTTGCCAGTCTGGTAAATAATCGGTAATGCCGTCAGTGAAAAGTCCAACGATCGGAATTTTACTGACATAATCAAGAACTGGCGTGAGTCTGTGTTCCGTAATTTCATTGTAGAACGGTGTTCTGAACAGATACAAAAGAAAGGCTATTTTCCTGCGAGATAGTTCATTTGCTTGTCTATCGGTGGGGTGCTCAATCTTTTGTAGTGATTTGAAACTAAATACATCTAATCCTAAAGCTAAGGTAAATGGAATCCAAGACTTTGACTTGAACAACCCGAGAGCGGTTAAATGCACAATTGGTCGCAAAGTATAACACAGTTCCGCTAGGATCAAGTCTTTGTTCGGAATTTGGTGTGGAATGTTAGAATTAGGATGGGATTGCTTGAAGAAGATTCCACTCCTTGGCCCCACCCATCCCTTTGGACTATCATTGACGGTAAAAGAGCCGACAAGGATCTGATTGTGTTGGTAAATGAGACAAAGTCTGATGGAAGTCTTGACGGCGGCTAAAATAGCCACCACAAGCCACTTTAGAGGAGAGCCTCCCAGTCGCCGCGCGCTGAGTTCTACAAATACTTCTACACACTGTAGAACTTGTAACATCTGTTCCAATCTGTCTCGGTCAGCCTGGGGTTATGTTCGTGTTAGTAGCGTGTGGAAGTGTTTCTTCTATTACATTGATAAAAGTTGTAACAATTTAAACATGATTAATATGCTCTAATATTGCCCTAAATCGGCAAGCCTGGAGTTATCTGACGTTTCTAAGTGTTTGTTTCACTGCCAGTTACCTTCATGATTAATATTAACAATTAGTGTCAACATATACATAGCAGTTACTATCCAGTTTGAAGTTAAGCTCATTTAATAAGCATTTCACAGTATCCCATTACATTACAACCCGCCTTATGTTTAATATCATGATAATAACACCTCACCCTCCTTGTGTTAAAATCATCATTAGTCACATTAGTTTCCTTGTGTGAGTTTTAAAGTATTGTAACAGCATTACACACGATCGGGTCTGATAAGGAACACGACATTTTGTCATATTTTCGTCAGAATGACGTTATGATTCCAAGATAACAGCCCTGTCATATTTTTACTGCAAACATTTTACACTCGTATCTAGGGTGCATATAAGGTGATCTTATTAAGTAGAGGGATGAGGCTAAGTTGAGTGTAACGGTGGTGATTAAGCGTAGGTATGTAAAATATGCATATATTTTAAGATATGGAGGAGAGAAATTATTCGGTATTATAAGAAACATTATTCGACGTTTTAACCAACATTTCTTCACAACTACATACTCATCACATCAACTAATAAAAGATGAAAAAACATTGCCCTCCAAGAGTTTTTACCGTAAACCTTTTGTAACAAGGCACTTCTCACTTATCTACAGTTCTACAAAGTTCTACAAAGTTCTACAAAGTTCTACAAAGTTCTACAAAGTTCTACAAAGTTCTACAAAGTTCTACAAAGTTTTACAAAGTTCTACAAAGTTCTACAAAGTTCTACAAAGTTTTACAAAGTTCTACAAAGTTCTACAAAGTTTTACAAAGTTCTACAAAGTTCTACAAAGTTCTACAAAGTTCTACAAAGTTTTACAAAGTTCTACAAAGTTTTACAAAGTTCTACAAAGTTCTACAAAGTTCTACAAAGTTCTACAAATTTCTACAAACCTCCAGCTCCCCTCTGTCTTGAGGAGACTGCTGTTTTCCCCCAGACAGTATCTTATCGTTTAGATATCTCAATAGATTTGATGACATGTACAGTAACTCAATTATCTCTATCGGCACTCTGAAGTGTAGAGGATATCAGTTACACACTTGTAATTGTTCAGGATCAATTACACTGAGATCAATTACACTGGTAGTTGGGTAAGGTTTCACTTACATGGGACAGAATCAGTGGCAGATTGTTCAACAAATTGGGTAAAATATTTAGTGTACATAACTAATGATAAAAGATGAAATACAACCCCACTCCGACAACTCACTATTCACATCCTCATACTAAAATACACTGCTTATCTATGACAGATGTGTTACACAAAAACACAATTCCTACTCAAACGTCAAAAAGTAATATAAAAAGCATAACCTGTTAGTAGCAAGATATGAGAGAGTAGAAAGAAGTGACTCAGCCCCTCGATACATGTGCGGGTCTGCCCTGACCAGCGCAGTGTACCTCTTTAACAAGTGCGTTACTGTAGCAGTCCCGTTTATACAGGACATACTGTGTATCTGTGCTGAGATTCCTGTATCACTGCACTCAGTAGGTGTGTTACTATAATCTACAGGCTCGGTGGTGATTCCCATGCTACTGGACTCAGAAGACGTGTAATCAACAGGCTCTGGTTTCTCTAATTCTGACATCTGTTCAGTTGAACTGAGTTCAGGCTCGGGGGATGTTGCTCTGGGGAGTGGTTCCGGGGATGTTGCTCTGGGGAGTGGTTCCGGGGATGTTGCTCTGAGGAGTGGTTCCGGGGGTGTTGCGGAGGGTATCTCCCCCGAGGATGATGGTCTCTCGTTATCTTGGGGTGTTGTGTCTCTGATATCATTCATTGTGTGTCTGCTATGTGATAGTTATATAGTTATTGGGTAATTATATTTACATTTAAATTATCCGACGATATGTATTTTGCATTTAATTATGCATCTATCTTGCACTTATTTAGATTTGCACTACTGTTGAACTTTTTCGACTCATGAAATAATACACAGTTTATTAAGAGTAACGTTGGATAATTGAATATATTCAAGTGGGAAAAAGAAGTGTTTCCATATTTCCATATTGTAATCAACGATATATAAGCATTAATAAACATTAAATTTACAATGGTCAACGAATAAATGATACAATAAAATAACGTCCATCTCCCAATATATTCTTGTCTAGATACAAAGTTATTTTCTGAGGTGTATCACTGGCCAGCAGCACTAAAATAAGTAACGTCTGAGTTCTGTGTGATAATTGATAACTATTATAACAGTAAGTAGATGTCTGATGAAGAGTAAATGTGATCAGGAAATACTTATATGGATTATTCTGTGTAAATTCCGACGTAATGGAGTTAGTTCAAATTGAACAGTGTGCTTTTTATTTACAAATGATCAGGCAGTATAAATCGTAAAGAGCTAACATGCCTACTCATAATAAAACCATACAAAGAATTAAAGAATAGTAATTCTTTTTGAACCATATAATATCAACTAACAATCTATTGATATAACAATACCACTAAAATATTCATATTGATTACGATTGCTGATTATTTTTGACAAATTTTAAGTCGAAACATTTCTGACGAAATTTCTCAACTTATAAATCAATTTTGAAGTCTAATCAAATGTAAGGAGAGTAACCAGCCGGTTCAGGAAAGTCGAGTTGACAGTCATCAGTCTTAATGTACACTACTAATTACATGATTACGCTTAGTAATAACATTATTATGTGCATATTTTGCATAGTAATAACATTATTATGCAAATAATTCGAGCCAAACACCCTATTCGTCTTTGGATCCGTGCTTGATCAGTCTGACGAAAGCGTTATAGTCAAACATTCCGTTGTTATCGATGGGAGCTCCGCGGAACATCTCATCTACTTCCTCGTCGGTAAACCTAGGTGAAAATATTTACTATTTAGTTGAATTATTGGGAGAAAATGTTAGAAGTAGAAAACAATTCGATGTAGCTAACATGAGGGGTACATATTATCTTCAGTGCCAATTTTTTCTTACCAAATGTTCAGTTATTTCTTACCTAATATTCAGTTAAATTGAGGATACTGGGTGTAAAATCAGTTAATTGTTTTAAAACATCGCTCCTGATATTTTAAGTCATCATTCCTGCATATTAAAATCTGACGTAATCTAACATTGAATCAGTAGTCTACATTATAGACTATAATTAAACTAACCTGTCTCGCATAGTACAGAGCAGGCCGGGTTACACTAGTATACTGTATAATATATAGATTATAGACTATAACTAAACTAACCTATCTCCCATGGTACAGAGCAGGTCTCTCAATGTATCCTCATGTATCGTCCCGGTCGTTTCCTCGTCAAAACATTGGAACGCATTCTTTATCACGTCCTCAGGATCTGTTCCATTCAGCTTCTCTCCAAACATGGTGAGAAACATGGTGAAGTTGATGGGGCCAGAGGCTTCGTTCACCATTGCTTCAAGGTTGGCGTCAGTTGGTTCTTGGCCTGAAACACGTTACATGAATTAAATTTAAGTCTTGTATAGAGTGAGGATCATGCAGGGAACTGTATTAATAAAGCTAGGAAAATTGAGGAAACTAGAAGCTCCTTTTTTAGGTAATAAACTGCAATCTATGTAGTATTATGGAAAAAGGCAGCACAATAGTTTCTATACAAGTAACATTGTCAGATAAACAAACTAAGTGAATTTTCAATGTATTTCCTTCAATGTGCATAAAGTTGAACAAGTAATAGTTTATCAGCCACATGGAATATGGCAGCTTAACTGTTGAACAAATGACACAAAATCTTAATGGGAGAGAATTTTGCAGATTCTTATTCCTTCCCATTATGACGTTGTATCATTTGTCCAGCAGTTAAACTGCTAAACGATGAAATAAACATTTGTCATTGTATATTCAAATAAACACCAAAACAATGCATACCAAGGGATGCCAACATATCATGGAGATCTTCCTTGCAGATGAATCCATCATGATTCTGATCAATCATATTGAAAGCCTCTTTGAACTCCTGGATTTGACTTTGATCAAACATAGCAAAGACATTGCTGGTAGCTCTTTGGGCCCTCTTCTTGACACCCTTCTTTGCTCGCACACGACTTGAAGACATGATCTAAATGTAATACATTATAAATTGTGTGAAAGATAGTTGTCAGTATAATTACAGGTTAATAACTTATACACAGAGTAATAAGTTCAAAATGCTGTGAGGAAGTGTTGATTATGTTGAAATTTCAAAGCGACAATAGTGCAACTGCAAACATCAGAAGTAATTTATCGAATTACAAAATAATTGTGATTATAATGCATAAAATCACCATTCATGTTTGCTAATTACTTCGTCCAGCAAACAATGCAATATCCCATTACAAATGATGACAATACTCGGGTGAGTACAACTCATGCTGTTTGTAACAGCAAATTTCAATTGAAATATTGGGATAGTCATAATAACAAGGTGATATTTTATATCAGATATGGAGAAATATGAATGAAACAATGCTGTATTTAACAAGTATTTTTGTTTAAACAATAGATTAGTCAAGTTTAAAAGTCAGTCTACACTACAGCAGAAGTTTTATTTTGAGATGGGCCTTTGCACAAAATGTTCGCGTTTGGCAGGATTCGAACCTGCGCGGGCAGAGCCCATTTGATTTCGAGTCAAACGCCTTAACCACTCGGCCACAAACGCCTGTCCATAATAAAAATGTCCTTTAATTTATACCCACACTTGCACTAGCTCCCATTCACAAGTTTGATGAGGTATGCACACAGCTGTTGAAAATAACAAACCTAGTTGGTTGGGGAGTTTGTACTCTTCTGAATCCCATGATTGATGTTGTGCATGTTCTCGGTAAATCGAATCGCAATCTGCCTCAGATAAAGGACATCACATCACAATACTTTTGACCTTCCTTAAAGCTCATTTTTCAGCTGTTTTAAGAATTGAGATGCCTTCGATGCCATTTTTTCTGTCAAACTGAAATCGAGTGGGGTGAAGTCTGAAGGTATCTTTTTCAACATCTAGGACTTTAACATGTATGTATGTATGTATGTATGTATGTATGTATGTATGTATGTCGACAGAGGGCAGCGCTAGGCCCGCTGTGGTGCCCTCAACCTACTTTTAGATTTGAGGGTCACAACGCAGGCCGGTGAGCTGAACACTGGGCACGCGCGCGTAATAATAGAGCTCAAACAGGTAATAGACCCCGCGAGCATATAGAATCAGGATTTTACAGGAAATGGTCAGCCGGCCCTGTGAAGGTGAAGGATGCGTGCAAAACTGAGGGCTTGAAGCGAGTGTATTGTGGTGCTAGCGTACTCTGATAAGTGAAGTAGTCCGAACCAGGTAGCTCACCTGATCCGCGTCGCGGGGGGCCGTTCCAATTTACGGATGTACATGGGGAGATATGTCGACGCTCGTGAGTGAATGGGGAATAGCTGATTTGTGCAAAGGTGATGTGTGGGTTTAGCAATCATATATGATCATGTAGAATGTGTTGCAAAAACCATCCTAATTGAGGTTAATTGGTTAGCGTATGTAGTGAACTTGTGGGAACTGACAATGAAAGAACGAACGCTAAGATAATTTTGGGAATGTAGCATAGGCAGTGATAGATTCAAGGTTGATGGAGATAATTAAAACAACGAGGAGAGCTGCAATTGTAGAAAGTGATAGTAAATATTTGTATGTGAATCTCAATTGTTTGTGAATCCTCTTTATCGACACTAGGCAGAGTATGATGCTGAGGCGAAGTTCGGGACTGATCTGGTATCATCTTCCTTGAGTTTACTAATCTTGATCAACCTGGAGTGATGGAACGTTCTGTTAGAATCTTAATTCTATTTGTAGCTTGTTTTTGTACTTCATATTACTAACCCTGTATCTCACTTTAGCAAAGGTTTAGTTCCAGTGATTGTATATACAGTGTTGGGGTAAAGGGACTCCAGAAGGCAGACAAGGCTCGACTCCAGACTCTAGTTGAAGTAACAGAAGAGAGAGGAGTGTCCAGTGTTTAGTTGACTCCAGACTCTAGCGTAGCAGAAGGGAGAGGAGTGACGTTGTCGACTCCAGACTCTAGCGTAGCAGAAGGGAGAGGAGTGACGTTGTTTTAGTGATCCCACAGATTCCAGTCGACAGATACTATCTGTGTTCTGTGACGTGGAAAGAGTGGTAAGTAGTTTATAGTTATAGTTTAGTAGTTTAGTCTAGGAGTTCCCGCTTCCTCTTTCACTTTCATTTATAGTTTCACGTGGATTACCTTTCACTTTACTCACGGTAGTTTTCCCCCAGGGTTTTGTTTTATAGTTATCAGTTCCAGTTTTACTTGAAGTCCTCATCATTCAGAAGTCCCTCATATAGTAAGAAGAACATCATCATCAGGAGTAGTAGTTTTAATTTAATAGTAGTTTAATCTAATAGTAAAAAAGACATTGTTTAGTTTAGTATTGAAATGTGTTTTAACTATTAGTCAGAGCAGAGTAGTGTGAGTTACTGAGTCACACCATATCAATCATTCACTATTTAAGAGAGTACATTGTAGAGTAACAAGGTTACTTTTGACACAAGATTTGTATAACCTCTTTATTCATCTAATTTGTATTTATAATAATTGAGTATTATTTGTTATTTAATTAACCCAAGAACAGGGTTCCAACAGTGGTAGCAGGAAGAACTACGTTACACCGGACCGTTTTTCTTTTTTGTATATTTAAACTAACACATTAACACCTAACACTAGATTTCAGTTTTCATCATGGGAGGTGATAAAGTACCTGTTCTTGATGAGAAGGCCAACTATACAGATTGGAAACGGAGAGTTCAGTGGTGGAAGAAGGTGACCACCGTCAAGCCTGAGGCAGGAGCAGCTGCATTAATCATGAATATGTCTGGAAAACCAGAAGCTGTTGCTATACAGCTGGACGTGGAAGAATTGTCCAAAGCAGGAGGAATAGATGTTCTCATTGCTGAGCTGGACAAGTTATATGAAAAAGACCAGACTCAGTCAGTCTTTACGTCCATTGACAGCTTCATGAACTACAGAAGACCCAAGGAAGTGCCCATGGAAGAGTATGTGAGAGAATTTAGCCATCGTTACAAGAGCCTTGTGCAGAAGCGTGGTGCTACTGTGGTATTTGAAGATGGAGTACTAGCGTACTTCTTATTACATCATGCTAATCTCTCGGACCATCAAAAGACGTTAATCAGGGCAACGGTCTCTAAGTTAAGCTACGAGAATATGGAATCCCAGCTTAAGAGAGCATACGGAGAAGATTATACTAATACATCTTCTTCTTCATCAAGCGCAAGCGGCGCAAGCGATGAAACATATTCCATCGGAAAACCAAAGATTAAAGAAGAGCCTGTAAATACTTATTTTCAACAGTACGACATCAACAATTCAGAACATTTTGGTGAGGACCAGAGCAACCAGGAGGAAGACCCTCAGAAAGTTTTTTATCAACAAAGACACCACCAACACAGGGATTTTTATTCATCTAAGAGACCTTTCGGACAAAGACCCTTCGGACAAAGACCTGCGTTTCAAGGACAGAGTTCAGGAAACGTGTATCAACAAGCTCCATTTAGATCCAGACGAGGAGCACAAGCCCAACAATCAGGACCCTTACGTTGTCATATTTGTAAGGAAACAGACCATATGATGAGAGACTGTAAGTACAACACATTTGGAGAGAAGAAGCTTACATTCTTTGAGTCTGACTTTAAACTAAAAGATGAAAACAAGTGTATCACGTACCTTATGGGAGAAGCGACAAATAAAGCACTTTTAGATACAGGTGCTAGCTCCACAGTGTGTGGAAAGAAATGGCTGACAGTCTTCGAGGAATCTCTCACATCAGCTGAACATGAAGAGGTCAAAGTGACTCCTTGTGAGAAGAATTTTTGTTTCGGGGATGGAGATGCAGTTACAGCCAGGATACAAAAAGCACTCCCAGTAACAATATGTGGTCAGAAAGTAACTTTAAACGTGTTTATTGTGGAAAATGATATTCCTCTGTTACTGTCTAGAGAGTCCATGAAAAAGATGAAGATGAAGATCGATACTGAAACTGACAAAGTTTATGCTTTCGGAGGAGAAGAGAATCTAGTGATCACTAAGTCAGGACACATGATGATACCCATAGGACGATGTGAAAGGTCTATCAGCCAAACAGAGTCTGGAAGAACTAATCATGCAACAGAAATTAAGGTCCGTCCTGTTTTAGAGGAGAAGATTACATCGCCATGGTCACTAAGTGACGATGAAAGTGATCAAGAGGAGGAGTTAGAAACATTCAGTGGAGCTGACAATGAGAGTGTGCAAGACAATGAGCCAGAAATTGAGCCAGATAGTGAGCTAGAGGACCATGGAGTTGTGAGCTCAGTTTCAGGTAATGTGGATCAAGACAGTGAGCCAGAAATTGAGACAGAAATTGAGCCAGATGACCATGGAACTGTAAGTTCAATTTCAGGGAGTGTGAATCTGTCAGATCTGTCAGTGAATCAGTCGGATTGGGAAAGTGTGTGTCAAACCAGAACAGGCGTGGGTGTAAAGAAGAATGACATTATCAGGTTCAGATCCTCGGAGAGTGATGATTGGAATAATGCCTTGGTGATAGGTAGAGCCGGGAAACCTACAGGGAAGAACAAAAATCTTTACAATGTACGACTGGACGAGTCAAACGGTGAACCCGTATCAGTTGAGTTGGATAACTCTGTACAAGTGCAGAGGTTAAAGATTGTTCAGGATGTCTCACGAAGAGAGGTGCAGTTTTCAGCAAGCTCGCTTAAGTCATAGATCAAGGATACTGTGAATATGTCAGAGAGAGTATAACTGTTTTGGACTTTATGTTGTAGAAAGAGATTGAATATTTTTGCTCGGATTATTTGTTGTTTGAAATGTCAATTTGGTTAAACAATAACTTTTTAACGTCATTTGTAATAACTTTTAACTTTAAATGTGTGTGTATATATTAGTATTGTTAGAATTACCAATTTGTAACGAGTCATTTTTACATTTTTCACCTTTCAGAGACTTTTAACCATGCACGAAGTGTTTGTATTTAACAGATTTTAATTTTTTAAACATTTGTAACTCTTTACACGTATATTATTTTTGTGTTT